ACTAAGGGTGTTTTCACACCTGTAGATCGATTGCTTTGTTCCGAAACAGGGATTACAATTATTACAATGTTGCTTTTTATTCTTGGTGCGGTTCGCTTTCACACAGCAAAGTTTCTAAATGGACCAAATTTGTTAATACAAGTCACGTGCGAGTAAACTGTTTCAACTGACTCTCATTGGTCAAAGTTCCACACTTTATTTTCCGGGATTCCACTTAGCTGTCACAGCTGTCATCTGTCAGAATGGAACAATAACAGCTTTGCGGGCTTATTGTTTGTTTTTTTTGTAGCTGTCGTTATAATAATTTATCATTTTGAGCAGGAGTCCAGGATTCATCGGTAAAACATATTTTTAAAATGCACCTACTAGGAAGAAGAGCAATAAGACGGCATTATAAAATGAAAAAGTGCGCTTTATTTTATTTTGAATGGCGAAGACGTGCTCACCCACAGACATTCACAGGTTCATTTTGAAGTATTAGCAAAACAACAAAGCTAATGCTTTTCACGGAACTTACGTAATTACCCATTATACATTGTGATATAGCCTGGTTCGTTGGTCCGTTAGATCGGATTGCTTTCTCACTACAACCGAACCGCTCCAGAGTTCGTTTTCAATCGAGCCGAGACCACCTCGTTCAGGCGATCTCGAACCTATTGTTTTGGCGCGGATCCGGGCGCGATTGCCGTGTTCACATATGCCCAAACCAACCGAGCTAAGGGGGGAAACGCGCCAGGTGTGAAAGCAAAAAATGGTCTAGCATTCACTACCATTCAAACGTTTGGGGTTAGTAATTTTTTTTAAAGGGGAAGAATTAATTCATACTTTTATTTAGCAAGGACATAGTGAACTGATTAAAAGTGACAAAGCTATTTAAATGTTACAATAGATTTCTGTTTAAGATAAATGCTGTTTGTTTGAACTTTCTATTCATCAGTGAATCCTGAAAGAAAATGTATCACAGTTTCTACAAAAATATTTAGCAGAGCTACTGTTTTCAACATTGATAATAAGAAAGCACCAAATCAACATATGTGACCCTGGAGCACAAAATCAGTCATAAGTAGCACGGGTATATTTGTAGCAATAGCCAAAAATACATTGTATGGGTCAAAATTATAGATTTTTCTTTTATGCCAAAAATCATTAGGACATTAAGTAAAGATCATGTTCCATGAAGATATTTTGTAAATTTCCTACTGTAAATATATAAAAACTTCATTTTTGATTAGTAATATGCATTGCTAAGAACTTCATTTGGACAACTTTAAAGGCGATTTTCTCAGTATTTTGATTTTTTTGCACCCTCAGATTCCAGATTTTCAAATAGTTGTATCTCAGCCAAATATTGTCCTATCCTAACAAACCATACATCAATGGAAAGCTTATTTATACAGCTTTTAGATGATGTATAAATCTCAGTTTCGAGAAATTGACCCTTATGACTGGTTTTGTGGTCCAAGGTCACAAATA